CTCGGACTATCTACGCTCGGACTATCTACACTCGGACTATCTACGCTCAGACTATCTACGCTCAGACTATCTATGCTCAGACTATCTACGCTCGGACTATCTACGCTCGGACTATCTACGCTCAGACTATCTACGCTCAGACTATCTATGCTCAGACTATATTCGGACGTGAAACTAGCAGTAATCTTTCAGTTATATATTTTGTTAGCAGTGCGTTGCTTTTGTAGCATTTCATCAGTGATTGTTGTACAGCTTACAAGAAGTTGCGCTCATGCTAATGTTAGCATATAGATTGCAAATAAAACTGGCTTTGTGGGAGGAGAGCGTAGGGGAAATGAGAAGCCTGTGAGCGAGTTGGGGGCGGGGCTAAACATTCAGACCTTACAGAAACAGGTATAGCTCCTTTAATATGAAGAGATCCTATATTGGTCCTACGGTGGGGAAATTTCAGTGTTGCATCCCCAGTTACAGAACAGTAGGAATGAGGAGCACACAGCACAAGACGAATGAATGTAAATGCAAACTTAAATCCATCAGAGTTGCCTTTAAGAACAGCTGCAAGTCTGATCAAAAGGAACAATTGCAGACTTTCTAATTGTGTTTAGACGTTTTGTGATTTCCACTGTGGTTAATCCAGCTGCTGACATCCGGCGGTGCTGGAACAGTCTGATCCAGCGACTGCAGCGGCGAAGGAGCTCGTCCAATCACAAGTGAAGTGGCTCCACTCATAATCAAGGCTCTGGTGCTCCGCCCACATTCACACAATCTGCTTTTTAAATGACTTCGAGGCTTGTGCAACGCTTTGGCCGACTGCACTGGTTTTAAAAAGAGCCAGAGGTTGAAGATAAAGGAAGGCATGTCAGATTAAGTAACCCCTTTTTGAACACAACTGTCTGGTCTTATTAGATGAGCACGTATCACCAGAATGATTGACAGTTGGGAGGACCAATAGTCTTGATGATCCACCCGGAAGTAGAAAATCCTGCTGTGTACCTTTAAGAAGTATGTGGAGGAAGGTGAGTGATGCCCTCAGCACAGAGCGAGGGGTGAATGTTTTGGTCTTGTTTGTTTGAATTTGAGTGTGTGTGTGTGTGCGTGTGTGTCTGTGCGTGTGTGTGTGTGTGTGTGTGTTTGTGTGTCTGTGCGTGTGTGTCTGTGTGTGTGTGTGTGTGTGTGTTTGTGTGTCTGTGTGCGTGTGTCTGTGCGTGTGTGTGTGTGTGTGTGTGTGCGTATGTGTATGTGTGTGTGTGTGTGTGTGTGTATGTGAGTGTGTGTGTGTGCGTGCGTGCTGCATTGGAGCGAGGACACGCGGCTGTGTGTGCTGATCTCTTTACGCACTGCGTGAGGTGGTACTGAATTCATGTCAAAGATTATAACCGGGAAAACTTTCCTGAGATCTGGGAAAAAGGTGTCAGGGCAGGGCCTTGCGTTTCAAGTTGGCACAGGGCCTCGCACCCCCTTGCGACGGGCCTGGCCAGGTGTGAATTTAAAATTCCGTATTTATGCTCTCAATCAAAAGCTCTCTATAGACAGGGGTGCACATTGTTTATTACATTTTTCACAAGTGCCATGTCAATACCGTGACAATCTGTGGAGAATTTGTTTTTTAATTTAAGAACAACTTCCTTTACTTCATGTTCATTGGTTGCAACAAGAAACATTGAATGAGGATTAAGTGAAATTGGATTGATACTTAGGCTATTACTTTCATTAGGGATATTGTCGGAAAGCTGTGGACCAATGTTTACAAAAAAACTGTAAAACCATTTACTATGTTGTTAATATTATGCTTATCACCATCGATGTCATCGAAGTAATCTGGATACACTTTTCTTGTTGATCCTTGTTTTATTAGTCCATTTAGTATGTCCCAGGTTTTCTTTATATTATTTTTATTCACATCTAGAGTTCTTCCATAATATAATTGCTTACTAAGGCGCATTATATTTGTTAATTTATTTTTATATGTCTTGTACTTGCGTTCAGCTTCTTCAGTTTCTTTTGTACATTGGATTGAGTGGTCTTCAACTTAATGAACAATTTGTAAAGATGTTGTTTCTTATTGCAAGAATTAAGGATTCCTCTTGTGAGCCAGGGACTTTTTTTTTGTTTATTTTTTTTATGCCACAATTTCATGGGACAGTGTATATCATACAAGGAAAGAAATATTTTCAGAAATGTATCATATGCAACATTTACATTTGTCTCAGTTAAAACTAAGCTCCAATCCTGTTCATTTAAGCTATTTTTAAAGGCATTCAAATTTACTTCAGTTCTCTCTCGTTTGTAAGTTTCCTTAGGATCAGTTTTTGTGTTGTATACAAGGTCACAGTCACACAGGAAGAAGACTGGCAGATGATCAGAAATGTCACATATTAACAAGCCACTGGTGATCGGTTTCTCTATTGTGTTGGAAAATATGTTGTCAATCAGTGTGGCACTATGTACTGTTAGTCTACTCGGTCTGGTTATGGTTGGATATAAAGATATGCTACACATGGTGTCAGAAAAGTCTGCTATGGTCTTATGTTTTGCTGGATTGAGTAAATTGATGTTAAAATCACCACAAATGAATAATTCTTTTTTGTTTGTAGGACAAAATAATTTGTCCATCCATTCGGTGAAGTCATCTATATTTGATGCAGGTGATCGGTATACACAGCTTATAATTATGTTCTTGCTCTTTTCGTTGAGGATTTCTATCGTTAGGCATTCCATTAAGTCAGCAATAGCAACAGACATATTTGGCAAGATCTTAAAGGAAATCAATTTATGAATAAAGAAGGCTACTCCACCTCCCGTTTTATTATCTCGGTTTATGCATATAAAATCATAATCATCTAAGTAAAAATCATTATGTTTATGTGGATTGATCCAAGTTTCTGAAATGGCAATGATACTGAATGGATTGACAAATTGTTGCAAAAACTCTTTTAAACCACTAAAGTTGGCGTACATACTTCTACTGTTGAAATGTATTATTGATAATTTTCCTGCAGTGTTTATGTTTTTATTAAATTCATCCTGTGTGAAGTAATTACAATTCCAATCAAATGTAGACAACAAATTGTTGTCCCGGGTCAATATCTGATAAATGTTGTGAGTCCATGTACTTAAATGTTTCCAGTTCCATTTGTTTGTAAAGAAGAGTTAGCTGCAGCATGTCCAGATCATTGTTGTTTGATTGTTCAGGTGTATCAGTCATGTTCACCATATAGTTCTCCAAGTATGATATAGTGTTGATACCTTTTTAACTGTTGAATTTGTCCAGCTCTTCTTTCCTTCTTACGACCAGCACCTTTGCTTCTGGGGACCCATTTAGTTTTATAAAGACCTTGCAGTTTGAAACCCAAGTGTGCTGAATCTTCTGTTGTTTTTTCAGTTGTCTGGCGATGCGTGCAATGTCCGAGTTCTTTTTGGTTAAATGTTCATTTATGAAGACATTTGTTCCTTTGAGTTTGCGTCCTTGCTTAAGTAGCGCTACCTTGTTCTTTCTGCTCACAAACCTCATGATGACGGCTGGGCGCTCGTTGTTCCGGGAGGGCAAGGGATGGCAAGCCTCAACGTGGTCCAGGTCCAGCTCTATCCCCCTGGAGTGGAGGTAGGAAGCCACCTGCTGCTCCACGGAGGCAGTCTCGTCCTCACTGGGCTGCCCACCGATCGCGTCAGAGGCCACCGCTCGCGCGTACGAGCGCGGTTTGGTTTTAATTCCAGAAATAATTAGGTCGTTTAATCCGACTGTACTGCTCCATATCGTCAACTCGCCGCTCCAAATCCTCGATGCGGCGGTCCTTCTCTTCATTTTGGATGCGCAGGGTGTTAACCAACTCCAGCAGTGACAGGAGTTGGGCCTGCTGCGTCCTGACAGCTGTCATTTCCCCGGTAAGGAAGTCAAGTGAGGATTTGATTTCCTCAAAATCCTCCGATGTAGGGCCTTTCTTAGGCGGCATGGTTTATTAGATTGTTTTAGCGCAACGTAATCCAAGCGGTAATGTCAGTGACAATCACAGTTAAAGCAGCCGATGACATGAGCAGATCCATGTTATTATTATAGATCCATGTTATTATCATAGATCCATGTTATTATCATAGATCCATGTTATTATTATTATAGATCCATGTTATTATTATTATAGATCCATGTTATTATTATAGATCCATGTTATTATTATAGATCCATGTTATTATTATAGATCCATGTTATTATTATAGATCCATGTTATTATTATAGATCCATGTTATTATCATAGATCCATGTTATTATTATAGATCCATGTTATTATTATAGATCCATGTTATTATTATAGATCCATGTTATTATTATAGATCCATGTTATTATTATAGATCCATGTTATTATTATAGATCATGTTATTATTATAGATCCATGTTATTATTATTATAGATCCATGTTATTATTATAGATCCATTTTATTATTATAGATCCTTGTTATTATTATAGATCCATGTTATTATTATAGATCCATGTTATTATTATAGATCCATGTTATTATCATAGATCCATTTTATTATTATAGATCCATGTTATTATCATAGATCCATGTTATTATCATAGATCCATGTTATTATTATAGATTCATATGTTATTATTATAGATCCATGTTATTATTATAGATCCATGTTATTATTATAGATCCATGTTTTTATTATAGATCCATGTTATTATTATAGATCCATGTTATTATTATAGATCCATGTTTTTATTATAGATCCATGTTATTATCATAGATCCATGTTATTATTATAGATCCTGCGTCATTTACATATTGTCCCCTAGATCCAGAGGTGTCCCAATAATAGGGAGAATGTTGTGAGTGCAGTCCCCACTGGGAAGGCACTTTGCTGGTGAGGGCACTCACACCTAAGGGCAAGGATGAGAATTGTGACGGGGCCATTGACATCCCTGCAGCACTTGTTTTGGAAAAGTTCTACAATTAAGTTTTATTATCATAATCATTATTATTATAACTATTACTATTACTAGCCAAACACATGTCTCTGCTCCCATGATGCATCTCTCACCTGTGACTTGGCGTCCACACAGGCCGCTGCCCCGCTGTGTTGCCCCAGCTGCAGGGCGTAGCTCCGCACCTCCTCGCTAAAGCATTGTCCCTCGTACAAGGCCAGGTCCCAGGCCGAGGTCAGGGACTGGCCGGGACCCTCGGCCCCCAGAGCCCCCACTGTCCTGGGGGAGAGCCGCCGGTCAGACGCCCCGGACTCCAGCCCTGTCACAGCGGGGGACATTCAACATTACATATATATAAACTGTCGGAGAACTCCTCTTGACCTTTATCCATTATTATATATAAAATAACTGGATACAATTCCTGTTACTAGCTCCTCGCTGTCATTATTATTATTATTATTATCATTATTATTATTATTACTTTTCACATGCAGTATTATCACATACAGTACATTATTTTTGGCCTCCGTCGCGTGTGTACATCAGGTAAGCTTATTTGTATAGCACCGTTCATAGTCATGGAAACTCAAAGTGCAACAGTCCTACAAGGCTTTAGAGTCAGAAACAATCACAGAACATTAAAAAGTGTGAATTGCAATTCTTCAGTCGTGGAAGAGTGAAACAGAACTGTTTAAAACTGGATCTGATCAATTTCAGAGAAAAAGTCTGTCTCACATTTTCAAGAAGACTGTTCCAAATCTGAGCAGAATAAATCTGAAACTCTGCCTCCTCAAGTTTAGTCCTGACTCTGGGACCAGTAGGAGACCAGTCCCTGTGCTCCTCAGAGTTCCAGCAGGAGACCAGTCCCTGTGCTCCTCAGAGTCCCAGCAGGAGGCCAGTCCCTGTGCTCCTCAGAGTCCCAGCAGGAGGCCAGTCCCTGTGCTCCTCAGAGTCACAGCAGGAGGCCAGTCCCTGTGCTCCTCAGAGTCCCAGCAGGAGGCCAGTCCCTGTGTGGTTAAATATAGTTCCTATTGTCCTGTGTCTTACCGGAGTCGCTGTCCTCCAGGTCCATGGAGGCCTGGTCTCTGCTCAGGGGGAGGTCAGCCTCTGATGGGCTCTCGTCGCTGGTCCCTGTGGATGGCTCCCCTCCCTCCATCGGCCCCGTGTCGCAGCTGTCGGAGCTCAGGCCTGAGAACACAACAACACCGACTGAGCACCGAACAGAACGTCACAGGGTCACATGAGCAGAGCAACGGAGAACCAGCCCCAGAAACACTGCAAAAACATCACAACACACTTCATACTCGGCCTAAGGAGTGGATAGTAATAGTCTATAATTAACTATATACAATGTGAGCACAGGGACTGGCCTCCTGTGGACAAGAAAAATCTTCCTGAAAATGTGAGACGGGCTTCTTCTCGGAAAAAGTTCAAATCCAGGTTAAAAACAGGTCTATTTCGTTGCAGCAACTGAAGGATTTTATCTTGATTATTTTTACTATTTATGATTTTAAATTTTCTTTTCTTGGTTTGAGGAACACTTTGAGTTGCCTTGTGTGTAAAGTCTGCGATACAAAGAAACTTGCCTTGACTCTTTTACCTCCAGGAATATACCGGGAGTTCTTTGTTTGTGGCCGTAAAGTTAGATACCCCAGCTTTAATTAAGCAGCAAGACTTTTCAATCATTCCACTGACCTTTATTGAACCAGGAAAGTGAAAGATGCATTTTAATCGTGTCCCTGTGATAAACCAAATTGAGTCTGAGACACACAAACAACTAGAATCACCACTTATAATCTCTGATGTTTTGCAGTGCGTGGCTGGGGGTGGCTTCTGACGTGGCTAATGTGGCTAATGTGGTCGTACAAAGAGGCTTCTGTCTGCGCTCAGAGGACTCAGATTGTTGTATTTGGAGAAGGAGAAGTGTGTGACCGAGCTAAGATCAAAACAACAGCTGCTTTTGGGAGTTCACAAAGATACACAAACACAACATCTTTAGTAAGCGTCCAACCGACCAATCACATTTGGTTATGACGTCAAGAGTCAAAGCTACACAATACCAGTTTAACTTGTTATTTTTGTGATTTGCATTGCCTATTTAGATTAGCTCTTTGAACATGTTTTCCATACATGTAGATAGTGTTCCTTGGAATTTCACAGAGATACTTTGCTCCATATTCAAATCGCTGCAGCACGAGTCCAGACTAAAACCAGGAAGTAGGATCACATTAGTCCAGTTCTCAGGTCTCTGGTTCCTGTGGCTCAGGGAATAGACTTTAAAACTGTACTGTCCATGGCCTCGAACCAAAGTACATCTGAGACATGTTAGAGCCATATGAACCAACTCTGAGGAGCACAGGGACTGGCCTCCTGCTGGGACTCTGAGGAGCACAGGGACTGGCCTCCTGCTGGGACTCTGAGGAGCACAGGGACTGGCCTCCTGCTGGGACTCTGAGGAGCACAGGGACTGGCCTCCTGCTGGTCCCAGAGTCAGAAACATTGGGAGGCAGCTTCAGTTTCAGATTCATGCAGTCAATTTTAAGTTAAAATAAAAAGAAAACATGGATCCGGGTTAAACATACAGCTGAAGGATTGTACCTTTGCTCTTTTTAATGCACAGTGGTTGCTTTGTTTTATTCCATGTTTAGATCTTTGTTTTAATGGAATCAAAAATGGTTCTTAAGAAGAAAAAATAAATTTCAAAAGTAAAAAGATATATGAGACACAATCCAAGTCTTTATATAAATAATTGAAAATATTGTGAATTATAAAATGGAGGATGATTTTTTTAAATCAATAAACAGAGAGCAAGTTAATTATAACAAGTTAATTAGTAAATAAGTGATGTAAATATTCATAAATTACTCCTGGACAGAGTATAGATTACACTAATTCTCTTGCATTATTAGAGCCTACAAAAATATAACAAATATATATATATTTATAGTATTTGACCCTGCTGTTACATCTTACGTTTTTTTCATAATACATATATTTAAAGTAGTTCCTTTTCTTAGAATACGTTTGCAACAAGGCTTTCTGTTGGGACCATTATTATTCATGAAAAAAGTGCTGTAAAGTTATGTACCCCAGCTTTAATGATGGGCATTGGAAACATTACCTGGAAAAATGCCACGCTGCCTCGGCTCCGGCTCACAGTGTTCAGTGGTGTTTGTTTCTCCATGAAGGTCTCCGGCGTCTGAGTGAGCTGCAGCTGAGTGGATGTTTCCGTTCAGATCCAGGTGGAGCTGTGCGCGCTCCTCTCCACATCCACCAGAGGGCGCTGTGTCAACGGTGGAGGCCTGCTTCACTGCTGCTGCTGCTGCTGCTGCTGCTGCTGCTGCTGCTGCTGCTGCTGCTGCTGCTGCTGCTGCTGGCAAATCCCTACATACAATACAAAATATCAAATAAATACACGTCATACAAATCACTTTTTGTTCAGATATTCTAAGATTAGGATTAACATTGACAGATGTTTTATATGTCCCACAGTGGAGAATTAAAAGTTTCCCCAAAGTTAAATAACAGTAGGAATGGCACAAAACAAGATAAGTGAATATAGAGTAAAAGCACAACAAATTCTCAGCCCAAAATTCCGTTCTCAGCCCTAAGAGTCAAATTGTGACGCAAAATATAACATTTTTAATGAAAAAAAATTTTTTTTCCTCTTTTACATTTGTGTTTGCAATAACAACAAACTCATATGTGCCATAAGAGCAGGATCACGGTCCATAAATGTTAATAAGTGTCTCGGATCATTACTTGTGTAGCTTGATATTAAACAAAGACTTGCAAGAAGTAACTTAAGTCACGTAAATCCATGTAAAAATCCAAAA